ACCTATGCAACAAGAGTTGTAGCTTTTTGGTCTGAGAAGGTCAGTGAAATGCCCTCAGGATTTATCCTGAGATCCTGAACCTTTGTCAATGCAGCCATGTGGATGAGTCACGGCCATTGCTTGGCCAATGTGCTCTCTGGGAAAGCCTGAGAGAATGTCTTCTCCCCATGTGACTCTCCTTAGGCACACTCTACGTCATTGATCACTTTCCTCTTTGGCCCCATAATCTTCTTGATCAGAGAATTTGGGACACTACCGAGGTACATGACGTTACAGTACAAGTTCTCATATGTCGTGAGTCTTAATTGACCTTAGAAGGGTAGGGCCAAAATGCTGGCTTTCCTTGTAGCCCTCCTTTTTCTCTAATTTTGATCTGCAAACTTAGGTTGTTAACCATCCAGAAGACAAGCTTATTGTTATTATCAAACGATTTAGGCTATCAAGCTTAACCTCACTATCTCACTGCGTTTCAAACATCTTAGGCATAATAAGGAACAGGTATTTTTCATCAAGTATTGATATGTTGAACTTTAAGTCCCTACATAATATGATAAAAAAGCATTTAAAAATTAGATTATATTTTAAAAATAGGATAAAGAATTCTATACTTCTCATGTTTTCACACAAGTCCAAAATCTCACCATATACAACCTTGAAACAGGACAGTCCCACAATATTCCTTTTCCTGTCTCTTGAGGAGTCACCTCTTAACTTGTGGCTCTTGTCCCTCCCTGAGCTGTGATTGAGCACCCCTCCTTTCCCTCATTGCTGTTTTCATCTTCGAGGCATCTGTGCTCCTGTTTGCTGTGTACACAAACCATTTTAATTAAATGTTTTGCCTTTTAGATATAATTGTATGTCAAAAGTTCCAACTGAAAGGAAATTTATTGTTTTTCTCAAATCTATAGCCCACCCTAATTATAAAATATATTAATGCGTCTTTCTTGCTGTTCTCTGTATGTGTTTTGCATTTTGATCTGAGCATTTTTTTTCTTTTACTTTCAACATGTGCTTAGGCTGTTTTGCAGTTCCCTTTGCATCTGTTTTCTTTATGTCATGCGATCATACTGTGTGTGTTGTATGTGCTGATGCCTGCAGGTGTCTAGGCTGTTTAGTTTCCAGGGTATTTTTCTCTGAATGCTTTTTATCCTTCTTTCATTTTGGTTTTGGGTATTTTATTCATTCCAGTTCCTCTAAAGGATGTGAAATTTAATAAAGTTATTATTATCAATAGGTCTATCTGAAGACCCATTCAAAATAGAAATGAAAAACTTGTTCTTAAATTAGATCATGTTTTAAGTTAGGTTTTTTACCTTGGAAGAATGGGCACAGAAACCAGAGTATGAAACCAGAGTTGACCAGGTCTCACTATGCGGCTCTGACTTGCAGTGACTCTCCTATTTCAGACTCCCCAGTGCTAGGATTACAGGTGTGTGCCACCATGCCCCGTTGTAGTGGCTAGCACAACAATCCTAGGGTTGCAGTGCCAGCACGGCATGTGGTACCAGGGATCAAACCCGGGTCCTTGCACTTGCCAGGCAGGTGCATAGACCTCTGAACTATCTTCCCAGCAGAAGGGCTAGATTTGAATTCATTCTTTGGCACCATATTCTCTTGGACCATAGTTAGTCCTTTGGTGGCTTATTTTGTTTTCTGTGTAATGCCAATGGCCTCTATTCACAGAGTTGTGAAGATCAGATATGTTCATGTATATGAGTGCCCAGTAATTCGGTGTCCAGTAAATGTTAAGTCTAAACCTGGAATAAGCATACCAGGAAAGGCCATTTGTAACATAGTATCTAATAACTAAAAATTGGAAACAACCCACGAATGCAGCAATATCAGATTATAAAATATGAGGTAATTCATAAATGACATATTTTGCAGCTTCAAAATACACACACCAATCCAATATTTAGAACACTACCAATAACCCATAGCTTACACCAGTCATTTCACTTTTCACTTATCTAGAATGTTTTCTTCTCTCACTTCCAAAGATAATCTTTGTCCTGAATTTCTTTTTTATAGTTTCCTCAATTTTGTGTACCTATATAGATATGTATTCTCTAGTTTTGCTTGGTTTTGAGTTTTTCATAAACATAACTTCATATTTTCTTTTGGGACTTGTCTTTTTCACCCCACATTATTTCAATTCAATTGTGCTGTATATGAATGTATTTTTATTATTTCATGATTGCATTTTACTGTAGTACTATGCCATGACACACCTATCCATTATTAGTAGTAATATGTATTATTTCCAGTATTTGCTGAATAAAAACAGTGTACTTGTGAAAAAAAATTAAAAAATAAACCTGGAACTGTAGATTGTTTTTCACAGTGTGTGTGTGTGTGTGTGTGTGTGTGTGTGTGTAGGGAGAGAGAATAAATATTTAATATTTCCTCAGACAATGGCAGCCGAAGCATGGGGTGTAAATGTGTGTATATATGCTTGTGGGTATAAATTTGTGAAAATACCATGTCAGTATTGGAGATTTCCCCAAACTCTATACAAGACTTTCTAATGTAGGGCTAATTTTATAGTGCTGTAGTTATTGTAGAGTTCTTCTTACTCTCTTTTACTTTCCTTTTGCCAGACCTGTTCTATAGCCTACTTATTTCTCATCCAGGATAATGATCTAACAGTCATCAACATTGTTGTATATATTCTTCCAAAATGAGAATTAATATTAGCATTGTAGTCCTGTTTTATGCCTGTATTAGAAAGTATTGAGTTGAGTGCCTTGCTATAAATTATAAAATTGTGGAAGTAGATAATTTGGGGGCTTAATTTTCCTTTTTCCTTGTTTCAGTTTTTCCACCTAATTTTTCACTTTGGATGGGATAATCAGGCACAGCATCTGTCCTCAGGAGGTGGTCACTGATCTAGGTTAGGCCTAGCTCCAAGGCCCTGGAAGCTTCTTTTTTTCCTTTTCTCTGTTTTTCTACTGTCATTGACTGCTGATATTTCTTGAGGCATTGCTTATCACTTAGAGCTGTGCACTCAGCTCATTTCCTTAACCCCAGTTGTACTCTCTCACCTCAACACACTACAGTATTGTTATGAGGATAAAATGAGTTAATAAATAGAGTTCACTACAGTGTCTGGTACACAGTAAATACTCAATGTTCACTGGCATTGTTTTTATGGCTATTGTTAATAGCATTGTTATTAACTGTAGTGGTGGTGACATGACAGTTGATATAAAAAGTTTTAAATCTTCAGGATCTGAGTATTCCCTGTCCAGAATCTGGTTCTGTGCCATTCATTACACAGGGTCCCGAGCATGGGCTTGCTCAGTCAGACGCACAGGACACGTGGAGGCTGAAGTTGCAGCAGAATGCTTGTTTCTACTCCCAAGTTTGCTATAAACAGTAGTATACTTATATTAACCCCTTGTTGTCAGCCACAAACCACATCTTTTTTTCCTGGCTTGTTTGCATTTCTTTTATCTATGTAGAACATTAGTGGTTTTGGAATCACTAATAAGATGAATAACAAATATATTTTTTGGCAGAACCAGAGATTGAACTCAGGCCCTTGTGCCTGCCAGGGAGGCGCTTATTCTACTCCCCTGCTATCTATCTATCTATCTATCTATCTATCTATCTATCTATCTATCTATCTATATTTGGCTATTTATACTCTAGCTTATGCCTGCCCTCATGCCTGCTGATTTCCCAGCCTCCTCACTGCACTGAATAGTGCACAGTATCACTCCATCTGCAAAGGCCTCCTGAGTGCCTTTCCTTACCTTGCTGTCCACTTATTTTTGTTGTTGTTTTTGTCTTTTAATACATAGTGTCTACTCCGCACATGTAAGATTTTTACTTTTTTTTTTTTTTTACCTAATTCTTCACTTGGTCATAGCCAATACAATGAGAAGTGATTCATAATTCTTGTATTTAATTGTATTTCCTCTTACACATTTGAGTTGTATGGTAGGAAAGGCTGATGACAGATAATGTGATTTTTATACAACTTTCCATGGACTCCATAGAGCTCATAAACTCCAAAGAACTCCATAGAACCCATGACTCTTACCTGTGTGAAGCATTTCTTCTTACAATCCCCTTTTATCTGTAATAGTGCACTTTGTCTCAGCTGAGAGCATTTGGGCCTCACTTTCTCTTTGGGTAAATGATAACGTCTGTGATCTGAATCATCCCTTCTTTATCACATTAAAAGTATCTGTTGATCTAAATGATCTTCCCTTTTAAAATTATGAATGATACAAAGAGATTCAAGGAAATAATTTAGAATTTGGAGATCATTTTGTCTATGTGTAATGGACATTTTAAATAAGTGGTATTTATTACAGTTATCTCAATTCAAGTATAGTTTGCATTGTTTCTAGAAAGTGAGACTTCTGTGAGTAAAATAAAACTAAAACCACTTTGTTCTAATACTCAGTGTGTGTGAAGTTTTCTTTCTTTTTTGGGGGGGGAGGGCAGGGGTCAGAACTGGGGATTGAATTCAGGCCCTTGCGCTTGCCAGCGAAGTGCTTGTTCTATTGAGCCATCTCCCTGACCCCCTGTTCTAATACTCAGATGACAGAAATTTTGGTATACTTTTCTGTAAGTTTCCATTTAACTTTATATATTTAATTCAATATAGAAGTATATAAATACCCGTATTTAATAATTTTTATAATCAATTACTAACTGAAATTTGTAATTTATATAAAAAGTATGTATAATAGTATTGGTTATGAAAGCTAAAATTAATGATTTCCAACTTTAAAAATCTGTATGTGTACATTACAAAACTGTAAACAATAGAAAAACAGTATAAAAATTTTAATTCCTTTAATTCTAGTCCTACTGTCAATATTGATGAGTAATTTTTAAAAATTTACTTATATTTGTGGAAATGTTTCTTGTGAAGGAGTATGGACTAGATGTTCTTTCCTTTTATGTATGGTCATATACACCATAAGTAACCCAGAATGTAAATTGTGAAATAATATTTCAGCTTTTTTTCCTCCATGCTTTAGGTATGTATTCTTTTTGGATCCATGCAAACTGGACTTGATAAACCGGAAGATCAAGTCTGTAGCACTATGTGTAGCAGCATGTCCAAGACAAGAATTGAAAACCTTGGGTGATGTCCAGAAGTTTGCAGAGATAAATGGTGAGATTTTAGGCTTACAAATCTACAATCCAGTTACCTATAATTACTATTAAATATTATGTGGTCCCATTCTATTATAAAAATTTTCCTAGTTTTAAATAAGATACCAGAGAATCTTAAGAGAAGATTTTCTTATTAAAAGAGTTAGGCTCAACCTAGGGAGTTTGTTCATATTCTAGATGTCTGAGGTGTGCCAGGATGCATGTTGTCCAGGCTGCTGGAGAGGCTGGCATAGGAGAATCACTTGAACCTGACTTCAGGGCCAACCTGGGACATATATTAAGATTCTCCTCTCAAGAGGACACAAAAAGCCAAATCTACTAAACAAAGACCCCAGACATTTGTTATCTTTCACTTGTTTACTCAAAACAGAATTCTAGATACCTCAGCTCCTCCCAGGGAGATTCTTAGTAGGCCTTTGGCCTCAGGAAAGTTTTTTGTTTTTTTCAATAAATGCTTCAGGTGATTTTGATGTAGTCTGTTGAGTTTTGGGAATTACTAGGCCACTTTGTAAAATTTTGATTGCTCCTCTCTTTTTGAGCATTAAAAGTTTATGTATGTATATACTTTTAAAGTATGAATAGCAGTGTATTGTGTATATATTACAAGAAATCTGAAAAGTTTAGAAAAAATACAAAGATGTAAAAAATCAAAATTGTATCATCAGTTCATTTTCAGTGTGTTGCTCTCTATATAGTGTGATGTTTTGCTTTTTAAATTTAATATTACGTAATGACTTTTATTTGAGAATAGTTTTGAGAGACTTGGCAGTTAACGGTATGGGAATTAGTTGAGAAAACCAGTGAAGTCAATTTCCAAAATCTAGCACTGTTGTACGATTTTTCTCAAGTGCTATCCTCAGGTCCATAGTGGCTTAACTCAGTTTCCTTAAATATTTTTAAACCATTCTTTGTAGAGAGCCATGATATACCCTCTAGCCTATGCTGTTTGTTTGTTTGTTTTAACATTCTGAAGGTTTCTTATGAGTGTTTTGTGTGTGAGACTCCTCAGACCCACCCAAACGCAAGGATAGTTCTGGCTTCTTGGAACAAAGGCTGACTAAAGTACCCACCTGTTTTGACTTCAAGGTGGGTACAGAAATAGCCAGGGCTATTGCTGTGCACACTCATCACTGTGGCTTAATGTTTCAAATGGGGCCTAGGCCTCCTGAAGACAATAGAAGTGGAATATTCCTGTCCTTCCACTTCCTCCCCTCAGTAAAAGATGGTGATAAGGGCATGGGATTGAGTTCAATTTGGTTTTTAATTCATTTTGTCACTACCTCTGTAATAAAAGGTTAAAGTGCTTCTCTAAACCTAGATTTTCTCATCTGAAAAAATGTGAATTAAAAATAACATCTCCTTAGTGGTTTTGAGGATTAAATGGGATGATGTCTGAAAAATGCTGTATGTGTGATGAGCACTAAATGAAGTGGTACTAACTACTATTTAAGATTTCATTTTCTGTTCCCACATGGTGTCCTACATGTTTCTCTTGTTGAACCCTATGCCAGAACTATTAGCCTTATCACTATTGGGTCTCTAAAAGCGGGCTGAGTTATACCTTAAGGATTTTTGTAAAATCTTAGACACAGTAACATGCATACCTGGCAGGTGGTGTAGTTGAATGGTTAAGAGTACAGGCTCTGGAATCAAATCATCTGGGTTCAGTGTTCCTCCCTGTGTTTAACAGCTGTGAGACCTTGGGCAAGTCACTTGACCTCTTGATACCTCAATTTTCCTATTCTGATATAATGGTGGTGTCTGTACCTAACTTACCTTGTTAATGTTGCTATGAATAATCATTAAGCGAAAAATGCTTAGGACAGTATCTGGCAAATATTAAATAGCTAAAAATGGTGTTGGTTGTTACCATTGTCCTTAATGTTCCACTAGGGGAGTATACTAGTCTTCCCTTTGCTGAGTTCTCTACTTATAGCTCCTTTAGGTACTGCCGCCATACAAACTTTACCAGAGTTTCACTCTGTGCTACGCTAATTCATTGCTCAGAAGTCATCATGAGTAAAATTCAAAAAATAAAAATCTCTGGTTTACACTGACATTCAAAGTTATGACTGAGTCTTGAGCTGCCTTCCCACATGTCCTCTCAGGCCTATAGGATGTGAATCTTGGTGCCGTGAACCTGAGCCATCATCTGAAGGGCCAGGTGAGAGTTTGTTCCCTGTTAGCTATGCGGCCTTCTGAGAAAATCCCTTCATGAGAAACAGACTGTGCCACCCTGTTGCCATGCTTTGTTTCCAGGCCAGTGTCCTTCTAAGTGAATATGACACTGAGTATGGTCTCAGTAGAAGACTCACTTGGTGGATTTTTCAGACAATATGAAGACGTATCATTGAAAATAATTTGCAGATGCTTGTGAGGCTGTTGAGAAACTGGACCCTTGTGCATCATTGGTGGGAATATAAAATGCAGCTGCTGTGGAAAAGAATGGAAGTTCCTTTACAAATTAAAACTAGAACTACGACGTGATTGTAGCAATCTCACTTCTGGGTATACATCTAAAAGAATTGAAAACAGGATCACAAATATTTGCACATTCTTCTTCATTGTAGTGTTATTCATATCTAAGGGGTACTAGCTATGTAAAGAAAATGTGGTATATATACACAATGAAATATTATTTAATGTTAAAAAATATAAAAACCTAATATGCTGTAATATTAAAAGTTGAGAACATCACGTTAATTAAAAAAGTCATTCACAAAAGGACAAGTACTGTCAGATTTCACATATATGAGAACCATGGGGTACTCAAATTCATAGAGTCAGAAAGTGTGTGGTTGCCAAGAATTGTGTGGAGGATACATTACAGTGTTTTTTTTGTTTGGTTGTTTTTTTTAAGTAGTTAAACACGTTCAGCTTTGCATGAAGTGAGTTCTAGAGATGGATGGTAGTATGGTTGTATAATAATGTAAAAGTACTCTTGTGACATATATATATATATATATATATATATATATGGTATATAAATATAGTATGTGTTTTTTACCATGATTTGAAAAAAACATTCTTGAAAGAGAAGAATCTTGTTTGAGGTAGTAACTTTTTAAATTCTAATTCTAAACCTTATTTTTAAATGTAGGGTAAAATAACATGCTTCCTACCAGAATAAAAAGATAATGTAAATATTTTTCAAGGAAATTTAAGTTTCCATGACAACGCTTGAAAATACTTTTTAGCCCAACCATCCATTCATATGAACTCTTAACTATCTTTAGAAATTATTTAAAATTTTGTAAGCGGAAGCTCTTGAGTCTTACAGCATGTTTGTAAGAAATACATTTATTAGGCAAGTAAAATATTCCCTTACATCTTTGTTTCTTTCAGACAAGAAAGAAGAGTTGTTTTCTTGGATACTTAGAGTTTGTGGAAAGCCTTTGTCAAGTAGAATAGAGAGTTTGGAAGAAATAGCTGGAAATCAGGTTGGTTATGTTAGATACTGCCTTAATATAGAAAGCTTTGAAAATAGAAAGGAGAATTTAGATGAATCTAAAGGTACACATTCTAGGATGTGAATTGGGCGATTGGTAGACAAATAAATGTGTTTTATTATTGTGGTTAATGATCCATATATAACTTAAGTATCATTAAGTATATGATGCTAGAAAACAATTTTTAAATGATCATTTAAAAGTTGTAGTTGCCAAATATAAAGACTATCAAAATTCTTTCAGTTCTTTATCATCTTCTTGAGGTTGTATATGAATTTATGTGAGGCAAGATTGTACTTTTTCATCTGTGAGTATCTCAGCCCATATAGGAGCTTGCATAGTAGATATCTATAATTTTTTTTTTCATTTTTTAAAATATATTTGGTACAGGGTCTCACTACGCAACTTGGACTCGTAGTGATCCTCCTGTTTTCAGCTTCCCCAGCACTGAGGTTATAGATGTGCACCACCATGCCTGGACTTGGTCACCAGCTCAGCATGCCCTGGGGGTGGGGCTGGCGCGGCATGCAGGACTAGAGATTGAACTTTGGTTTGTGCACTTGCCAAAGCAAGTGCTAGTCCACTGAGTTGTCTCACCGGCTCCTATAAGTGATTTTTACAAGAGTGGATTTTCCTGTTCATCTTTTTTGCCACTTAGTAGTTTCTTGTTCTCATGACACACTTTATCCTCAGTTCTGTATCAATGTGAGTTGCCACCAGCAGGTAAATTGTTTAGCTTCAATCTAGGCAGAAATGCTATGAAATCAATTCATTTTATTCAGTCCTAAATATGGTAATTTATCTTATTTGTCTCTCTTATACATACTCTGCAAGTGATTGATCATACCTTTTCTTCATGTAAGTCCTGTTGTTGATCCTCTTTGCTAAACTTATGTCCTAGGGAGAAAATTGAAACCATCTGATAGGTCCCATCTGCTTTGAGCAAGGTGTGAATTCCATTTTACTTTCACTTTCCTTCCCTGCAGTTTCTCATGAGTAGATTTCTTTCCTCGTTTATCATTATTTTTGAAAACACAGAAAATGTATATTTTCTAGCAGGAAAAATGAATCCTCCTTCTGAAGTTTTGGCTTTGTTATATGAGATTTTCATCTCAATCCACCCATGAAGGTGGTGAAGAAGGGAAGATAGTACCTGCTCAGGCAGCTCTCCTTTTTCTCTCCCTAAATCTGGTCCAACATCTCTGTAGTCTGCTCTACTTCTCTCCACTGTCCCATTCTTCCACATGGCATCTAAGTTTTAGTAGATACAGTTTTTGACTCTGGGTTTTGTTCTAGTGTCCCATTTGTTGGTGCTTAGTATGTGCCATGCAGTCAGCCAGTTGCTTTGCTTTTCATTTTGTTCTCCCTCTACTGTCTAAATTCCATCCAGCAATTGTAGAAATGAATAGAACAAAATAAATTAAAAACTGACGGCATGTTCTCAGTTGGTGATAATATTTCAGATGGGATTATAACTCTCCTTTCCATTGCTCTTATCAAACTTTTTTTAGTACATATTTTGTCTCTCTACTATGGTAGTAAACTGGTA